CAGCGACCTTTCTCAGGTTATCGGTCCACCTGGCAGAGGGACGTCCGACATAAAGACGTCCGTATTTCGTTAAGGGATAAAATCCGAAACGAAATTATCCGGCAGAGGACCAAAGTTATCGATATATATGTATTAACATTGCGTTATTCAAATGGAACACAAATCTAAGTTGCAAACATTTTCAAGTGTGGACGTTTCTTGCTAAAGCCAATAGTTTGTTGCGCAAAGCTTTGGGACCCACCCTATAATTGGCACGTAGGGTCCGACGATAATCGTTTACTTTACCGCTTAAAATTGTTCGTTAATGTTACAAAAAGACCCATGAAACGTTTAAAATGTTCTTGTCTTCGAGCGTAAAGACGCGCATTTCGTAAGCTAAGTAAGATTAATATGTAGGTATTTAAATCGATATTCTGGTAGAGCAAAGGTCTGTCTCTATTATGTTCCCACTCCTTGAACGTTACACTTCCCACGGACACCAATGGAGAACAGTGAGATTGAAAGGAAATTGTATAAATTTCCACTCGGCGAACTCACAATGTTTACCGTAGCTAAGGAAATTTCCAAAGGGTGGGTAACGGGATCGTGACGGATAAATTTCCCATTCCGAAATTTTCCGGTTGGTAATCAAAAGTCGCCTCTGTTTGTAAAGCAATATCCCTCAATTCAGTAAACTTAAAACTGAGTTTATTAATAAATGATAAAATGGCTCATCAGAATCTTGTCTAATGTACATACAGACTTGCCCAGCGAAGCACCACATCCTTGCACTTAGAGCTGTTAGTTTAGGCGCTCGCGCTTAATTCATTATTCTCGAATAACCTCAGTTCGATTCTCGGTGCCAGAAGTGCTAGGCTGTGAAGGAAACATTGTAAGGGACCCAGCATATTTTAGATATAATAAAAAAATACTTTGACGATATGTGAAGTCTGCAAATCCGCATTTGCTCTGTACAGAGGAGTCCTTTGCCTATCAGTGGGACGTATACTGGCCGTTAGTTTACTTTTTATTCTTCTTTGTTTTCATTAATTGCATTTGTTTATTTATCATAGAATCAATAGATATAGAATTATTAAAATTTGGCATATTTAGAATAATCAATAGATCCACATTTTCCATGAGCGTGTAATGAATATTTTTTTATGCGAAAAGTTGTCAAACGAGCAGACGGTTCACCTGATGTTAAGTAAATACCGCCGCCCATGGACATTGCCACACGCGAGGGTTACAGATGCATTGACAACCTTTTGAAAATTGGGCTCCGGCCACCTCACTCACCAGACGAAACGCGAAAGTATTTGACATACTTCCACTTTACGCTGGTCTTCTGTGAGGTCGTGGTACTTACCCGGACGGGCCTGCCCATTCGTGCAACAGCCGAGGCTGTTGCGTGACCCTACCACCGTACTAATGGATTAGATTCTAACATACAAGTGGATTAGAGTAGTGGACAGAACCATGTTTTAAAACCTGCATATTCTTATTGACTCTGGTGATATTATCACCTAGTTACGAAGAATCGATTTGATTTTAATATCAGTATGATTTTTAGAACTGTTCAATAATCCTATATTCCATTTTCGTCTATGAAAATATAAAACAATATGTATATCCTATACTACTAGAATTCAATAATTACAATGATATATACAATGAATGTATATGATACATTGTATATATGAAATACAATGTATCATATACATATTATTTTTCGATAAGTTTCTGATGACAGATAAATTCTTATGACAAATTATTTGTGTGCTACTAACCGTACAGCGAGAACAAAGCGCGTCGGCGTTTCTGCTCTATCGAATAGATATACATGTAGTAGTATAGTAGTACGTTACGTTGCCGAATTAATGAACACGACATTATAATCATAGCCTTTGTTGGGTCATGGGTATTCAATTACGGGCGGTCCAGGACAGCCCACGTCGCTCTATCTACGCGAGGCAGCAACTTTCCGTGACAACGTTTCAATATTCATAAGGCAAGCGGTTAGTTCTCGGGTGCTATGGCGAATGCGCCTCGATGCGGTGTTATAAGTGAGGTATGTTCGTGTATTGCAAAGAGCCCTCCGTTTCGACGGTGCATTTTGTATGCTAGAGCCATACCGCGGCTTCTGCTCCTGTCGCTCCTACGTAGGAGTACGATATACCTATTTATATTCCATCTGACTAGTGAGGTGATCGACGCATACACTCTCGAAGTGTGACGACGCGACTTCCGCCAAACGTGTGGTGCTGATCACTTAACAACAGGTTCATTTTCCACCTTCTTTCATAAAAAAAAAACAAACACTAAATCTACTTCGTCGTGAATCTACTGAAGTAACTAAACAAATGTGTGAACTATTTTCAACACTCTATTAAGCTAACGGTAAGCTACACCACGCACATCCTACGAGAAACGCCTTATGTCTTAACAGACGCCCCCTGAAAATTTCCTTTTAGTGGCACTTTCTAATCACCCGGGGATTCCCCTAGACAACGCCAAACGCTAACAACGGGCACCGACGACGTGTTTGAAATTAGGTAATTCGTCCGTATTCATCTGCTCTGTGGTAAATGGAACATCTGAGCTCCTGAATGCACTAGACTTACAACTTTGGATTTAAAGACACTCCAGCCTTTAGGGATCTCCACTAGGCAATATTTAGAGTGGCCTCGCTCTAGTTTAGCTTCAGTTTAGACTGTAGTCGTGTATTTCAAACAAAGTGAACTGGTTTCGCTTTCGTTTTAAACTTTCTTTAATAAAAAGTGCATCACATTATGAGCCGTGATAGCTCAGTGTCCGGGCGCTCGCCTTTAATTCAATATACTCGAGCAACCTGAGTTTGATCCCCGGTGCCGGCACCAATCAAGTTTTTAACTCTTAAGTGCTGACTTATCACGTGCTCTGCGGTGAAGGAAAACATCGTGATGAACCTGCATGTTTTCGAAATAATAACAAAAAAAATATATAAAAGATATGTGAAGCCCGCCAATCCGCAGTGGGGCCGCGTGGTGGACTATGCCTTGATACCCTCTGTATAGAGGAGGCCTTTGCCCAGCAATGGGACATGTATAGGCTGTTACTTTACTTTTTTACTTCACATTATGTTTTGTTAGTAAGAAACGAATAAAGATTGAGGAGATTGATGTATGTGCTGTTTTTAATTTTCAATAAAATCTTAAGCCTATCAAATTTAACAGGGCGAAAGAAATCAACGTTTCATCCAACTTGTCTTGAAATCGACAGGTGGTGAGTGCAATACTGCACACCGTGAATCTTTTTTTTTTATGTGAAAAGTTGTCAAGCGAGCAGGTGATTCATCTGATGTTAAGTGAATACCACCACCCATGGACATCTGTCACACCCAAGGGTTTGCCGATGCGTTGACAACCTTTTGAAAATTGGGCTCCGGCTACCTCACTCACCAGACGAAACGCGAAAGTATTATATTTCCACTTTACGCCGGTCTTCTGCGAGGTCGTGGTACTTACACGGAAGAGCCTGCCGATTCGCGCTACAGCCGAGGCTGCTGCGTGGCCATTTTATCTTTTTATTTTAAACATTGCCCTTACTTTTGGATAACATCATCATGTGTTGTAAGGACTTTTTTACAAACATGAATTTCACGTGGACGAACACCCAGGTGCGAAACAACTATCTGTGGGTCACACAAATAGTTATTCCGTGGGATTGAACCCACGACCCCCGACGCCGAAGCCAACACCTTGGCAACTGCGCCATAGAGTCCTCAAATCCAATCACTAATTAATAACCAAGAAATAACGGTGGTGTCTGAACCTTGGAGCACTATTTCCTCTTATCGTTATGAGGTTACCACCTCCATCTATTCCATTGCTACTTTTCTGTAATTGATGAATGACAAAGTAATTTATAATTCTTTTCTTATTTTGCACATTAGTGCAAAATAAAAATACGGGTAATGAATTATCATTACCCGTATTATAGAATGACACTAAAACTGAATAGTGCTCAGAGCCGGTATAACCAACGCAAATTGGAGGTCATAGACCAGAAACAATTATACCCACAATTGGGAATGAAAATCTCGATCCGGGACAAAGAATTTAGCAACTAAACTAATCGAACAATAATGACGCTTGTTTCTACATGACAAAATCTAGTCTAGTTAAGACTGTTAAATATCGAATGCAGTAGGGCTCTATCTCCGCTACGTGGATTAGAGCCGTGATGGCTTGTATTACACGAAACTACGTCTGCGTTTGCGTAGGTATTTGGCACATTGTACAAGCTAAGACAATCCGTCACGAGTAGCGAAAGCATCCCAGCTCTGCTTAGCAAACACTGGCGGTAAAACAAACACTAGGTCCCGTTCCACATCGCCTCGTGACACGATTGACACGATGTGTACACGACATGACCGCCGGCGACACGATGTGGCTGTGACAGAAACTAAGATACAGAAACGCTGTTATATCTTTTGAAAATTACAAGATATGAACAAAGTTAAGAAATGCAAATGTAAAAAAATAGTTTGACTCATCAATGTTATTTTTAAATTTATTGTAGTCATGCAATTACAATGCTATGCATGGGTAAATAATTTGTTATTCAAATCATGATGGGCTGCACAAAACCTACAAAAATATAAATACAACTAAATTTACTAAAGTAATAAGTGACATACCGTTATATTATATACGTATAATACTTTCCCTCATATTCATATATTAACTTTCATATCCATTGCCTCCAATTAACTGGGATGGTGGCCAAAGAAGTACTAGCTGGTCTTTAAATTAACATACTTAAAAAGTTTCGTCAAGCGACAGTGGCGGAAGTAAAATATACCCCCTCGGTGGCAATGATAAATTGAATATTGCATTCAGTTCTCACCTGAGCGATATATCACAATACCCGGCGGGCCGTGTTGTTCTCTCTAATAGATATGGCATGAAACGTTTGCATATTGAATTACCCACACGAAGAACGTTAACATATACATACATACGTCGTTGTAAGTTTTAGAAAATAACGGCGCCCCTAAAAGCGGCGCTTTCATTGTTTTCTCCCGCAGCTGGGGAACAATTGTTCGCCTGTTTGTTGGTATAGCTCTAGATCGTTCAACTCGCGTGAATATTACCAATAACGCTACGATACCACAAATAGCTTTGTAATTTAATTGTCACGAGCTGCTGTAGTGAGCGACGATTGGGATATGTTTTATAGAGAACGTTTTTGATTGTACAATATAATATATTTGGCATTCTTGTGAACGTTTATCTGTGTACATAGATGTTCGGCATTCTTGACTTTTATAATTATTTGACTAATACAGGTATATAAATCGACTTAAAAATCTTATTACAACAATGAGAGTAGAAATAAATACATGAGATGTAATGTCTTTCAAGCTACGAATAAAAAGAGAAAAGGGCAAAATAAGTTTATTTATTAATTTTTGAATAATAAAAACAGTCATAAGAGGTATAAGATGGATCGGTATTTTTTTTCTTGATTATTTCTTGTGCACAAACAAAGGATCAAAATATATTCGACAGAAAGAAAGAAAAATATGTATACCATATTATAAAATATCAAATTGAACTTTTCTTCTATTACAGGTGTTTTCACTTTAATATTAAACCGTATCACATTTCGAAGTACGTTTTGCACAACATAAATGCAGAAAAACCTTAATATTTTCAAACAATCATCAATATTATAATACTGTAATTTTTTTACGTCCGATTCAATTTACTAAGTAAGCATGTTGGACAAGGATCATAAAAAAAACAACGACTAGTGTCTTCCAATCAATTGCCTTATAATTTGACAGCATTCGATACGGAGGTTTATTCGTTTTGTTGTTTTATCGTATTTATTAATTGTAACAAAAAGGCTTTTTGTTAGAGCGTACTTAAATGAACACATGCACAACGTATATCATATCGCACCTGTGACCCAGAAGGACAGACAGAGATCGCGTTTTGCCAATTTCCAATTTATTTCAGCACCAATCATGTTGGAAGCACGACGCGCCTCTTGCCCCGGTCGCAACTCAACACCGGAGACCACTCGATCCCCAATTAAGCCGCCCTCGATACCTGGAATTATCCCTCGGACTCGAAACGGCTTGATCGTCTCACTCGGATCGCCTGCGATCACCAAATATTGACACTCAATACTACGCCACTCGCACACAGTGCGTCCGGCCCTGTTTCATGTCATTCAGCCATGTTGTTTTTTCTTTCTTTTTTTTTTTTTCAGCACAGACAAATAACACGCCCGCGTCCGAATGCGATTCGCATAAATTAATAATAAATAATTATGGCCTCTAAGAAGACCACCTCCGTGCACATGCTTCGAGGAACTCGAAAATTATCCGAGTGTCGTGTATACAGCGTGTCGTTACCATCGCGACAATAAATGAACACACGTCTAACGCCAATCATCATAAAAAAAATATTAACGTTAAACAAAATCCATAATTTCAAACAAACTAATTAAGTAAAAAAGAAATAAAATTTGTAACATCCTATAAAAGTCGCGCCACAGCGTCGCATAACAAGCCTCTCCTTCTAACAGTATGTTTTGTCTCTTTTAAATTCATTCAACCTATTCATATGCTATGTGACCTTTACAAATGAACTTTACGTTACAGTTTTATACGTAAGGGTGTTCTAAAATTCTTTGTTTTGGAAAATTTAATAACTCTCTAAATATTGATGTTTAAAGAAGGTAAATTTTTAATACAATTTTAAAAAGTTATCCCCTATATGTGTGTTCATTTATTGTCGCGATTGTAAAGACACGCTGAATATTATATTTTAAAAAACTAAAAAGCACACTTTAATCGTAAACGGAACAAAAACTTACAAAGCGATTAACAAAAAAAATAATGTCATTGTTATAATAGACTTTCTGCTCTATAACCTTTCACCTCTAATTAGTTAAGATAATTCCAAAGGATATTTTAAAGACTTTAAGAAAAGAATACATTATTATAAAATAAATTTACATTTGGATATTTTCGTATTCGGTATTCAGCCGAATAGTAATCTATATATTTGGTAGTCGGCGGAATATAATAAAATTCTCTGAATGCCGAAGTGTAGCCTAATACAATGAATATTCGGCTACTCGCAAGTCTAATTTTTATCTATTATCGCTTTGTAATGTCCGTAATTTGCAGTGAAGTATTAGCTTGCAATTGATCTTAAAAAAATGGTATTACATGTATCGACTATTCTCTTTAAAAATCTAAGAATTATTCTAATAAACAGTGCAAACCTACCCATATATTTTTTTAAAGTTTGTTGTCATAATATCACTTTCTAAAACGCGAATGTTACATCTCTTTGAACAATAAACGTGCACGGGTCTTCGCAATTGGAACGACTCGCGACGTAACGCCAAGTGAAATGGAAAGCCATCGATGTCATTGTTTAATTTTCGCACACATTTCTACCTCTCCGCTAGTAGTGATGGTACTTTTACATTTCTTTAGTCGAGACCGATACAATATTGTTTTTTTTTCGTCTTCTAAATTTCATTTAATATGCTGTTCAAATTGGCCTTAAGATAATTACAAAATTCAACTTAAAAAATGTTCCCTGACTTTTTGTAACTAAAATTACTCAGCATACCTTGCAGTACAGCGTTAAGTAAAAGCTTCATAGGCTTTTTAGGTTTGTGGCTAGACTTAGATAAAGTTGCTAGACTTACACATTCGATAAAAAAAAAAACAATGTTTACTTTCATTCTCATTTTTTTATATTTATCAACTTTTGTTATACCTTTGGATTTAGTAACAAACAAACTGTTTTTTTAACTGTATTTTTTTCGCTCATAATATTGCATGCAATTGTCAGTGCCTTTAATTGTAATGACACTAAAGAATAGTTGATGTATATTAATTTCTTTAGTCATAAATAGTGTTGTACATTATGTTGGCTTTCATTAAATAAGTAAATCTTCGCGTGTCTACCCAGTATAAGTCATCAAAATTACATCAAAATCGGACGAATGATTTACTAAAGCATGGGCGGCGATTATACAAACATCCGTCAACATTAATCGTAGTCAAATGGTTTTTAATTTAAAGAAAATAAACAAAATTCAATGGACACTACATGTGCCTTTAAATATTTTGATTTATGACCGTTTTTAATAACGTAACATTTCCTAAACAATCCTGTAACTAGTTATAGTAACAGATCTCCGTTGCGTTCTCATCTCATCTTAGCACGCCACATCACTAGCGGGGAACACGACGTGAGCGACACACGGCGTACGGGGTGGGGGAAGACTGAAGCGCCGAGAAGCCCGTGCCGGTTTAATTAATTTCCACTGTGGCGTGGTTAGCCGCTTATTAGCCACCCAGGTTGCAGGAGCCGCCAAGGAGCAACCCACCTTAATTAACTATATTTTTGCCCCGTTTCGCCCGGCAACCGCGACAAGCTCGGCAATTGTTAGACGGGCTAAAGTATAACGATAAGTTTAAATTACACGCGCTCCGTCTTGAATCGTTGTTGTTTGCTAATTGTAATATTGAATTTCAAGACACGTACTTGGCAAGAGTTTACCGAGCGCCGAGGCAGGCGTAAGAATTTTATGACGTATTTGACGATAGTGTAAGGTCAGATATTGAACACAAATGTCTGGCTCAAGTATATAATCATGTAAGATGGACATGGGAAAGAGAATATGTTCACATAGGAGTAATACTCCCTATTTAAAATTGCCGTCTCCTCACATCTTGTACCTACTCTTGTCACCACCAACAACCCACGAGCCCTGATGCTCAAGTCAATACCTTATAATTGTGTAAATTAGTATGTTTAAGGAACGGTATTAACGTATATTCTTTATAAAACATTTTTTAACGAAGGGTTTTTAAAAACTATTAAATTTTTTGGCAAATATAAACTTTAAAATGTTTTCTGAATAAATATTGATGAAGAATTATAGAAGGTATTGCGTACTGACATAAAAAAAACACCTTTGAAAAATAAATAATTTATGTATATAGATTACACTGTCTATAGGATGGTGGGTTTCAAAGAAGCTGCCTCTATTGTTTTCGGTGTCAAATTTCTGTAAAGTCGTGTATCGCGATGTACAGGGCCAGGACCTCCGCTGGAGGGTGGAGAGGGAGAGGGACGGAGGGCTTCGAGCTGGTGGGAGGGGGTAGGGCGTTATCGTGACCGCGACGGGAGCACCCGCGCCGCCACAACGGGCCGCCATTGTGTGTTTATTTTGCCGAAGAGTTCCATATCTTTTCGTCTCATTGTGCCGAGCACATCTGATTTAACAAGCAGCACGCGTAGTAACGGAGGATAGGGCGTGGGTGGGCATACGCTGATTGTTGCGACGCGATAGGAACGATCACTCCGCGGCGCAGTTGCCGGGGTGTCTGCTCCGGCACCGGGGGTCGTGGGTTCGAATCCCGCACGGGACAACTATTCGTAGAATATGGGGATAAACCCCCGTGATATGTATGCATATGTAAAACGTACTTTCGACACAGTTTTATGTAATGTTACATATGGACAATGTTTGAAAAAAATAAAAAAAACTACTCGAGGGTCATATAAATGGTAAACGTGCGTTCTGTAGTAAAGGTTTCAGACGGTCATGTGAAGAAATTTGACGTCACTAGTTACGGGTTTATTTTTTTTTTATATTATCAAAATAATTGTTATGAATGTAGGTATATGTTTAATTTTAATTTATAAATAGAAATTGCTTTTGCAACATAGATCATTAACAATCATGTTCAACCATATGGGTGATAATTGAAATAAAGTTAACTTAAACTTTGCTGTAGAAACGGGGGTATATGGGATATAAATTCTGTTTAGGTCTTAGTTATAACATTTCATTATAAGAATCGGCCACAAAACGGTAATATAAAACAAACATAAGCTGCAACACACCAAACCAAACGGTACCAAAAAATAACCAAACTTTAATAAAAATAAGTATTTATCAATGAATTTTGAAAAATATTGTCTTTCAGTCTAATTCGCTATTTTTCATTTAAACAAATTTTCAACAGATGGCATTATTATACATTTTTTAAAAGACAATTATTAAACGGTTTCTTTTATTCAAGGTTTCTTTTATAAAAACATTAACTTTATTCTACTTGTTATTCATCAATAGCGCCCAACCTATAGGAATAGGATGAGAATCATTAAATAAATCATTAATAATAGATTATGAAAGTTAAGGCGTTCCGTCAAAAAACACCTTTGAAAAATAAAATAAGATTGTTAATGCAACAATAAATCTTCTAAAAAAATATTTCAACACTTTGGTCAATTGTAACAAAAATTTAACAAAATTGCAACAATAGGAAGAAACTATCAAAATGTTAATCGAGTAAATAGAACAAAGGCATACTGCAACTCCAGGGAGGTAGCATAGAGGCCACTTATCATATAAATACGTTGAGAGCACTGACGCCTTATGAAAACTGAAATAAATTTCCATCCAAGCGCCTTTCGAAAGGCAATAAATATGAAATAATATCCCACGACTAAATTCTCGGTCATGATCAGGCAACTAGTTTAATATTTAAACGTAAATAAACACTATTTCCTTATTATTTTATATCGACCACTAATAAAAATTAAATTTATTTACTTTAAAATCGGTAAATTGGTGTATCGTGTACGCTATTTAATTTAATTGTTTGCGTTTCATGTTTAATCTCATCCTGAACCCTTGGAAATTCCAAGGGTTCAGGATGAGATTAAACATGAATAATTACACTAGTATTATGACTCGAATTAATAATAATCAAAAAACGGTGTTATATAATTAGGGGCTGTACGTTGACGGCGATAATTGAAAACACTTAATCCCTGTCCCATCCCGCTTAGCGACAAGCGTGTGTATGTATTAACGTATGTATATGTAATTTTTTTATGTGATAAGGTGGCTGGTGGCGGTTAACCTGATTTTAAGTGATAACCACCGCCCATGGACATTTGCAACACCCTTAGGGTTGCTGATGCGTTGTCACCGTATAATAAAGTGGGCCCCGACTACCTCACTCAACTGACGAAACGCAGAAGTGTGACACTTCTACTTCACGCCGGTCTTCTGCGAGGTCGTGCTACTTACCTGGACGGACCTTCCCATTCATGCAACAGCGAAAATTGTTGCGAGGCCGTACCACAATTATTAGGATTACAACAAAAACATAATACTATGTTTGATTGAAACTTTACTCTTTATTTACATATACCTAAAACATGTGTGTCATACACTTTTACAATTATTTGATAAGCAAAAAAGGCTTCAATAAAAGGAAGGAATTTTAAATGTGTTTCTTACTGTGTTTTCTATAAAGCAGGTTTCCAAAAATTACGTGGTGGTTGATCTGTCGTTTTAAAATTTAAATTGTATCGGAAATTTTTCCTTGATGGTACTTATCTACATAGCAATAAAATTAGTCCAGATTAAAATCCAATCAAGCTATAACAAGCGAATCAACGCAGATTAAAAATAAATGAAATGTTGACGAAAACGCACGACCCTTCCAAACAGAAACATCTCACCAAACAGTATTTCATTTAAATATAATCTTTTCTCTTTGATCTAAAAATCGTTTATTTTTACTGTATAATAGATGAAAGTCCAAAGTAAATTTAAAAATGTAGTAAATTTTCAATAAATTTTGTGCAAAATTACTATAATACGAAATAATACAATCAGTTGACAGCAAAGTATTTTCTTGTACACAACCTATAACTAAATAACTATATTTTAATTTATTTTTTGTTTATGCTTATAGCGTGACCGCCACGAAGCGGCCGAAAACGTAAACGATTTATTACTCGGCGTGTTGATCTTACCCAAGTGATTTATCAAAGCGATCACTGACTATAAGACCTGATAGACCATTCAATAGAGGTTAATACTTAATCTACCAATTCCTTTTGTAGCCGAAACTCAACACCGTTTTACACAGCCATAACATTTATAACGCATTGCGAACTGGAATCTTAAAGCATTAACGTAATCCGTCAAAGTGCAGGGGGGGCCATAAGTAAAACAAGATCTGTGCACCTATTTTTTGTACACTATTTAATCATTGTTTACCAACGACACGCCAATGAAATGGAACTCGCAGAGTAAATGTTGGCGCACGAAAATGATTGCGATCTGTGTTGGAGGTGGAATGTTTCGTTTTCAATTCGAAATATTACGCTTTGAATGGACAGACTAGGCTTTTATGCGAAACAGATGACATCGGGCTCTGATCTTGTTTATAACATTAAAATATATAGAAAATAAATTGTTTAATGTTATGTCGTTTCTTTCGATACGTAGGTACTTACTATGTTATCTTGCAACTTGACAAAAATTTTATTATTATCCTGACACTAAATTACGACACTCAATTGGGGGTTATAAATTTATAAGCTTGTTTTTGTATTGATAACCGACTTTCAATGTTGAGGTCACGGTATGTATTCTTGCGTTCAAAAATTTTTGACACTTATGTTCCGCGAACAATAATCTCCATCTATCAATTTTGAACCCGTGATATAGCTGTGTCTCTGTAACCTGTAATAATTTGTCAAATGACATGTGGGAATTTTTTTATATATTATTCATCGGTACTAGTGTTTGGTGGTTATTTTACTGGCCTAAGTTTATAAATTGTTTCTTTTCTTTGTTTCTTTTATATATATGTTGGCTAGCTATTGGTTTTCCTTAAACATAAATAAAACAAACAGCTAAGATCGATGGTTCTTGTATCTTTGAAACTTATGTATTTATTCCAATTTTCTATTACCGATAAAAAGTTACATCATCTCAAGGGCTGGGAAAGCTAATACTTTATGAACCAACTTGTTGGCTCAATTTTATTTACAACGAAATTGCCTAGTTTACATTTATTCGGTGTGTGGCTTCAATTTTCTCTCAACGAGTTTAAAATAGAGACTGAAATTGCATCTTGACTGCCTCTGTGTTAAAAAAAAAAACAAGATACGGACTTGCCTTTTGTATTATCAAATACCTACGCGAAAAGACTGTTTCGTAGCACGTTTTCTAGCATATATACATACATACAAATTAATTCCTTATCGGGCCTGGCAGAACAATAAATTATTGTTTAAATTACCATCGATTGAATAGCAACATAAACATTCAACATTTTTTATTAATTGAAATTAATAATTAAAATAACATATTCAATATATTGAAACTTACAGTTGCTGCTAATAGAGGAAACGGAACGATTGTTGATTTATCTAATCACAATTTTCATTTATTTCGATTCGATTTCAATGTTTGCAGGTCATTCAACTGCATACATTGAAATCGGCAAGATGTTGCACATCAAACTTTGGAATGGGAAAATCAGCTATCTGCTACATGTTGTGACGTTCATCAGCCATTGTGCAAGTGTGCGTCATAGGTAACGCTCTACGAAAACGAAATGAGCCTATTGTCTCACTCTTTTCAAAGGCCGATGTTGTATATCGTTGAGTAGTGTACTCTTTTACCGCTACTTTAACTGATGTTTTTGCAGTCCGTAGATTTTTAAAGCTTCATCAAACGCAGAATTCGTGTGCTAGGCGATTTGTTGCTGACGGTACTCAATATTTAATTATGTATACAATTCACTAGCACTTCGCCCGCGACTTCGTACACGAAAATTCTGATAGCTCGGCTAATTTGCATGATATAAAATATATAATTTATTTCACCCGCGCAATTGCCGTTCCCGTGAGGATACGAGGTCAAAATATACCTTGTTTGTGAATAAACATGAGTACTATTAATATATAGAACACTATTTTATATATCGTTAGTAGTTTTTACAAAGTACACAAGATAATTTTTTTATAGGCCACTGATACCTTGGGTTACATTGTTACACATCTCTAATTTTTTTGAAAATATAATATATCCTTATTTACTCGATAAAGACGTAACTTTCTAATTGTGAAAGATTTTTAAATAGGTCGAGTAGTTTTTTAGTAGTTAGTTAAGTCGAGTAGTAGTTAGTTAAGTAACAAACAAACAAAAAATCAATTCTTTTCTCTTTACCAAATTTAGATAATGATATTGTCAAAGTTGCCAAGATTGACGCATTTCAATTCGTCCCCAAATACTTGCTATAACCTGAAATACGGACGTAATTTATCAATGAAGTCATTTGTTTGATTAATATTTGGAATGGAAGGCATTTTAATGAATGACGCATACAAAAAAGTTCG